TATGAATGCAAACGTGTTCACAGTAGCCTGGAATGATCTTTGATATTTCTGTGGTATCAGTTGTAGTATCTTCTGTTTCCTTTCTAATTGAGTTTATTTGGATGTTCTCTCTTCTTTCCTTGGTTAGTCTCGCTAGAGATCTATCAATTTTATTTCTCTTTTCAAGGAACCAGTTTTTTGTTTCATTTATGTTTTGTATTTTGTTTGTTTCAATTTCATTTAGTTTTGCTCTAATCTTCATTATTTCTTTTCTTCTGCTGGGTTTGGATTTGGATTGTTCTTGCATCTTCAGTTCTGTGAGATGTGACCTTAGATTGTCAGTTTGTGGCCTTTCAAACTTTTTGATATAGGCATTTAATGCTATAAACTTTCCTTTTAGCATCACTTTTGCTGTATCCCAGAGGTTTTTATAGGTTGCATCACTATTACCATATTGTTCAAATGATTTTTTAATTTCCCTCTTGATTTCATTGTTGACCCAAAAATCATTTGGAGCAAGGTTATTTAATTTCCATGTATTTGCATTGTTTCGAGGGTTCCTTTCAGAACTGATTTCCAATTTTATTCCATGGTGATCTTAGAGAGCTTGAGATAATTTCAATTTTCTTAAATGTACTGAGACTTCTTTTGTGGCCTATCATGATGTCTATCTTGGAGACTGATACATGCACTGATGAATAGAATGTATATTTATAGTTGTTGGGTAGAATGTTTGTAGAAGTCCATTTGTTGTAGGGTATAGTTTAAGCCTATTGTTTATGTGTTACCTTTCTGTCTTGATGACCTACCTGTCTAGTGCTGACAGTGGAGTATTAAAATCACCCACTATTATTGTGTTGCCATCTATCTCATTTCTTAGGCCTAATAGTAATAAGTTTGGGAGCTCCAGTGTTAGCTGCATATATATTTAAAATTGTAATAGTTTCCTGTTATACTAGTCCTTTTATCATTACATACAGAAAGTCTCTCTTTGTATTTTCTCAGGCAGTCAGCAGGGTCATAGAGCTCCCAAGATATAACCTTTGTCTTCAGCTACCAGGGTGGGTAGAGCAAGACCATAGGTCAGGGCAGGGACAGGGGTGTCTGAGCTCAGCCTCTCCTTGGGTGGAGGATGGGGTTGTGGTTCCCAGTCCAGTGGCATTATATTCCCAGGGGGATTATGGCTACCTCTGCTGAGTTACATAGGCCACCAGGGAAGTGAGGGAAGGTCGGCAGTCATAAGCCTCACCCTGCTCCCACACAGCCCAGGGTCCTAAAGGCCAGTCTCACTCCCACTGTGCCCTCCACAACAGCACCAAGTCTATTTTCAGGTAGCTTGTGACCAGGGCTGAGAATTCGTCCTAGACCACAAGCCTCCCCATTGAGAAAGCAAGGAGACTCATAGTTTTTTGGCATCTCGGGGAGGCTGCAGTTGTGATCTAGTTCCTTCAAAAGATCTCTTTGCTTTCCTGGTATTTTTCAGGGGCAGTTCCTGGAGCAAAAGCTCACCATGTGAGTCTCTACACGCTGCTCTGTCCATTCAAGCATGAGCTGCAAGCTAGTCCTGCCTCCTATCTGCCATCTTAATTCTTCCAGTTTTTATTTATTTATTTGAGAGAGGGTTATATCTGGCTCTGTCACCCAGGCTGGAGTGCAGTGGCAACCTTCATTGCTCACCGTAACTTTGAACTCCTGAGCTCAAGCCATTCTCCAATCTCAGTCTCCCAAAGAAATGGGAATATAGGTGTGAGCCACCATGCCTGGCCCTTGTGGCAGCTTTTCTTTAACCCACTCCAGTAATATTTTCTGTTACTTATAGCTGGATACTTAGGCAACTTACAAATGTATGTGACTTATATAATAAATAGAGGGTACTATAAAATTTTAGAGAGGATGAGAAAAAAGGCTTGAATTAAATAAATTCCATAATCTTGGATTAAAAGATTCAACATTATTATTATTATTATTATTATTTTTTGAGATGGAGTCTTGCTCTGTCACCTAGACTGGAGTGCAGTGGCATGATCTCAGTTCACTGCAACCTCTGCCTTCCAGGTTTAAGCAATTCTCCTGCCTCAGCCTCCCGAGTAGCTGGGATTACAGGCATGTACCACCAGGCCCTGTTAATTTTTTGTATTTTTACTAGAGATGGGGTTTCACCATCTCGGCCAGGCTGGTCTTAAACTTCTGACCTCGTGATACACCGATCTCAGCCCCCCAAGGTGCTGTGATTACAGGTGTGAGCCACCATGCCTGCCTTCAATGTGATTTTTAAAATGCCAGTTCTCTGCAAATTTACTAGTTTAACATAATTACCACAAAAAATGCAGAGTATTTTTCAAGGGTGTTTATAAAGTGATTCGAATGTTTTCTTGAATAAGTTGAAAAGTAAAGGCATTTTGAAGAGAAGAGTTGGGGGGATGTAACAGTCCATCAATACTGATGTATATTGTAATAGTATTTCACTGAAGAAAAATGAGAAGATGGAGTAGACTATGAAGCCCATAAGCAGTTCAGAAGTAAAGGCACACATTCTTTAGATAATAATGTTGGCCCTCCCACCAAAGGGAAATGGGCAAATTAGCATGTAATAGAAGGAATAGCCAACCTGTCAACTATTTGGCATTTGTTGTATGATATAAGACAGGTACCTAATTTAAAGTTTTAAATTAGGTACCTGTCTTATATCATACAACAAATTCCAGTATATGCTTGACACCAGTAATTCCCTAAATATTTAACCACTAACTATATGCCAAGAACTATGCAAAGACTGAGGACACAAGAGTAAGCAAAAACATGCGAGCTTAGAGTCTAACAGTAAGATACAAAACAGGCCCAAAGTAGGACTGATTGAGATAATGTCAGTGTAATGTGCTTTCCCCAAGTAGTAAAACACATACTTTTGCTTAAAATAATTAAGACACTCCTGTAACAGGAAACTTTGTAAAGACTCCAATACAATATGACTCTTCACACTCACCCCAAGTTGTGTGTAATTCTGTGAAAAGTGCCTGGTGCTATACAATATTTGGACATGTATATTAATCACATAAAGAAATTTAAGACTATGATAGTGACACTGTACAAGATATAAATGTCACAAAAGAGTGCCACACAGGTGATCCATAGGGGCAATATTCTGAAGAAATGAATATATTAATGTTAAATGTAAAACAAAAGAGGATAAAAAATTGTAAGTGGAATAATATGATAATGCCTATTATTGAGGTGAGGACAAAATTCTAATTCTTAGAAACCAAAACTAAAAGAAAGTTACAGATCTGGTTACTTAAGCTAAAAATAAATTAGCCATGTTCCATAGAATGAGTCCAGTTCATGCAGCAGTCTACACCAGGGTCAACAACATTTTTCAGTAAAGGGTCAGAAAGCAAATAATTTAGGATTTGCAGGGCATACAGTCTCTGTTGCAACTACTCAACTTTCCTGTTGTAATATGTAATCAGCCACAAGCAATATCGAGATGAGCATGCTTGTGTTCAAATAAAACTTTATTTATAAAAAGGATGCCAGATTTGGACAATGTATCATAATTTTCCAATCCCTGACCTAGATCACTTAATTGTCTACACAATGGTGCATGCTTAAAACAATATATATGGAGCTTTGAGTCCTTGGCTCAATTTTGAAAATGGAAGATATAACTTTCCATATATTATTTCTGCCCGATAGGCTCTTCACCCTACATGAAAGAATGTGGACACTTCTTCCAGCTTAATTATCTACCAAAGACTAGGAGTCATACTCACCTAGCAAATGAAAGAGGTGTATTAGAGGCTTTTGCCAGGGAATAGTACTTTGATCTCATTGCCTCCAATATTTGTTAAAGTTGGGTTATAAGTTAAAATACTGAAGGAAGATTTCTTAGAGAACAAGTCATCTACTTACTTTTCTTGATAACTTATATTCTTTAACCAAATAAGGGCTACAGAGAAACAGGTAAGTAGATTACACTTCTTCCTCCCACTCAGCCACTTTCTGCAGAACTTTTCTTTTTCTGTATTGCTCTTTGGTTTGAAGATATTAGTTAATTTAGAAAGTCTTTATAAGAAATGAACAAATTGTAAATAATGACATATTTCTCTTTTATGATGGAGGATACTCTCCCAAAACAATGAAGGATAAACTGCTTGGGGACCTATTAATCACTGCTTCTGTTTCACATGTGTCAGGTTTCTGAGAAGTTACTTTGGAAGAAGAGTTATCCACATTTTCTCCCCCCAGATTCTATTCCTGGCCCTTCTCTAAGAGCACACTGCCTCAGGAGTCTGACCTCTTCAGACTGAGATTGCATCACCACATTCCCTTGCCTGGGCTTGGAAGCATCAACAGGAAAAGGAAAGCAGAGCCAGGGTATATTCTTACTCTTGCCCCAAGGATGCAGCTTTTAGCAGTGGCTGTTTCTTATAAAGCTGCGGATGTTGAATGGCCTTCCTCCAAAATGGGAATATCTTCCCCTCTTTTTACACTTTAAGCCAAAAATGGTAATAGCCTCCTGCTGTTGCCAGTCCCTGTGCACTTCACTGCCCCCGTTAGTGCTCAAAGTCTGCGTATTAAACTCTCTTCAAGTAAACCCTTTGGGTATGCCATCTGATGCTTATTAGAAATCTATCTCATGAACAAAAAGACAAAAAGAGTGTTTTGAGGAAAGAGACTTTTTTTCCACTGCCTTAAGAGAAAATCTTATCACCAGGTACCAAAAATTCTGTAAAACTGAAAACATATAACTTAAACATTCAAACATCATAAAACTGCACATTTAAGTTACTGTTTGAAATTATGGGCTACATATATGTCACTATGACAAATAAGCATTTAAATCAATGATTGTGGAATGAGATTTACTTAAATTCTACTTGAAATTCAATGAGACTCAAGATACCTGTTATTTAAAAGCTTTCATTTGCAAACTGGTTATTCTTAATATATTGTTGAAACAGAAAAATATGCTTAATAAAATGGACAGGCATAGATAAATATTTTGCAGCTTAGTGGCATACCTCTTTAAACTTGTGACTGAGCTTGCTTGTGTCCAGGTCTGACGGAGAAAACATGTCCTCATTCTCAGGTAGCTCAAAGACTTCAATGGCCATGTCGCTGCCAGGCAGAACAGGTCCTACCTCATCTTCTTCTTCATCTGTGGCATATTCTCCTGTCTGAAAGGAAGGGGGTTTCAGAAATCCAGCTGTCCTTACTGCAGGTGGAGGTGAGTTATTTGAAAATATTTAACAAAAGACAAATAAGACATGTCCCCAAATGGTGAAAGTGTTACGTAGGCTTTTCAGTCAAGCATGCCTCATGCAGCCAATGTTATAAACAAATGTTAGTTCAAAGATCCAAAGTAACAAACCTACGCCATATACAAGTGTGTTTCAGTGGCACACTAGTATATGGCATCTACTAGTGTCAGTGGCATCTTCAGCATAGAAACAAGAATTGCTTTTTTTTTTTCAATCTGAGCACTTGATTATTTTACCGAATAAAATTATGTTGCTAAGGCAAATAAGAAATTTGTAAAAATTCTCTTTGTGAATGAGCCACCCAATACTGGGAGCAAGGAAAAGGGAAGGGGAGTTTAAAAAAATCACAGAATTGGAGTGACCTTAATTAAGCCTTGCAAAGGTTTAGCTGATTAACTCTCCTAAGCTTTAAAGTTCAAATAGTTCTGTTTTGTTTGTTAATTATTGTGGTGGTGAACTAGTGAGCTAAAGAATAAACCAAAAGGTTTCTAACCTATAGCCTGCACCAAGTGTATTGTTTTGCCTGCCCAGCACTTTTATAAATCTGAGTATTTTGTCAATGTAAGAAAAATGTTTCACATAAAGTTTTAGACTTCCAGCTTTGAGAAAGCCAAATATCTGTTAATATAGGCACATTGGAAGATGATAACAATTGGCCAGTTAGCAGTGGCTGCCCCTCTTAGAAGAGTTATAAGCTTTCTTATACCCCACAACTTCTCTAATGCCATATTGTTCTATGTTGTTAGCTTCACTCCTTTGTAATGCCCACTGGCCCCTGTACATATCTGAGTTCATGACCCCTGGGATAAACGTTCCTCTTTGTCACTAACTTCCTTAACTTTATTAGAAGGTAGATCCTCTCCTGGCAGCATCAAGCTATGAGAATATAATTCAAAATAATTGTTTGAAATCTATACCTTATGAGATAATTTAAAGATAAATCACTGACTCACAGAGTTAAAAAGACAAAGTTCATTGAACTTATCCCTGTTCCTTCAGGTGACATGTTATCTAACACATAAAACAGAGATAGAAATTCATATTGCCTTTTAAAAACTGTCATGAAAAGTGTACAGAATGATCTATTCCTTTGATTAAATAGGCTCAGCATCTGATTGCTGTTTTTTTCTTTTGGTTCTGTATTATATTCTTCCTACTAAAGCAGGAATCCCCTTTCCTCCCAACCCACGCTTGCACATGAAGGAAATCTGGTCCTTAATCCCAATCTAATAATTCTCAATGTCTGGAAGAATATTGTTAAGTTGACTTCAGATTTCTGTTTTTCAAATAAAATAATTCTAGTTTCCTCAAAGGTAATTCGCTGTAATTGTCTTTGTGGTTGTGCTCTGATTTCTCTCCAAGTTTTCCACATTTCTCTAAATTGCAAAGCCTGAAAGTAGACACAGTTTCTAGTAAGGAATTTGAAGGTCATTGACTATGATGGACACACTGCCATAGCATCCTTCACACTCTGCCTCCCCACACAGAGGCTACTGTCATGAAGAACTTGACATTGGTGGCATCTGTGTATGGAAGTAAGCTCAGATATTTCATGCAGAACAATAATTTTCCAAACTGGTTACAGGTTAGTTGGAACCTTTATTTTCCCCAAGTACTATCAGAACTGATTTGACTGAAAGGAAAAGAGGTTGGCAGACTCCAGTATGATCCTTTTATCCCCTGAGTACCTGGAACTCTAGAACTCTGTAGAAGTCAGTCTGAAAATGTCTAAACTATAAATACTACTTCAAGTGTCTTTGGCACTGGCAGGTGAAGGTAGCTGAAGAATGGGAGCTGGTTGGTCCCAGATAACTTGTACTTATTTATTAGTACAATGAGATCCTACAAATCTTTTGAAAAAAACTCTAATTCCAGATTTGGTAATTTTTTTTTGGTATTCTGTGAATTAATTCATCTCCTGTTCATACATATTTCTAGAGCCAACAAATACTTTGTAAATTCTAGTAAAGTTAACAGGAATGCAGCAAGACCGGCAAGTAAATAATCTCAAGATACCTTTCAGAAAAATTTTCATGTAGAGGTATAAAACTGTGTACTTGTTTTTAACCCTATCATTATAACTGGCAGCAAAACCCAAGCCTTTATTATGAAGGCTTAAACCAGGTATATAGAATTCACCATATACAGCATTGAATGACTCAAGAAACTCCTATGCTAAATTTAAAGTATGACTAAGCCGTAACAATCAGGCACATTTTAAACAAGAGTTGAAATGAACAATTTGATTTCCTTTTGCTAACTTGAAAATAAATACTTGTTCACTGTATGTGAGAGAATATAAATATGTGCCTAGGATGGGACCAGACATAAAACAGGATCTCAGCAAATATTTTTAAAAGAATAAATCCAAGAATGCCAATGCATTAACCTGGTTAATATATAGAACCTTCTAAGGAGGTTTTCAATAATATAAAGAAAATAAACTGGCTACTTGTTAAGAAGGCAGTAGCATATCATAACGACAACCTTACCGTGAATCACAGGATTAGGGTATACACAACATATGCAATTCTTACCTCTAAATATAGTAGCACTTTGTCATCCATATACACTTTAATTATGAAAATTATCTTCATAAATATGTTATTAAGTGTTCTTCTTGATTCTTTTGTTGACTCTGCCAGTCTCCTCTCCTTCCCAATACCCAAATTACTTGCAGTACTATTAAAATTCTTATCACTCATTTCATCTTTCTATTTCCTAATGTTTTCTTTCTCCAATTAGCCTTATAAGCATCTTGAGGACAAATATGTCTTTTGCTGTCTTGATTCTACTTATTACTTACTATAGGCTAGGGATGGCATGTTTAAAACATTATAATTCTCTCTTGCTGATCACTTGCCATTCCAACCTTAAATAGGCTTTAGAATAAAGGATGCATTTACTACAGAATCTGATAAATACCTGGAAATAAAAAAGTTACATTTAGTGGAGTAAGAAAAATAGGTTCTTCTGATATTTTATCTTTATTGAAAATGGGAATTATTTTTGTGGTTACACTGCAAATAAAATAAGTCACATGGAATGTGTCCTTAGAATGTTGTAAATCTCAAATTTTAAATCTGCCATTCACAAAGGAAGATGAACAATGTTGTACTAAAAAAAACAAAGCCAACAAAACCCAAAATTACAACAAAGTATTTCCACTGTTATCTAGCTTTTTCTATTTCTGCTCAAATTAAAAAATCTTTCAAGTAAGCAGACTCTTGAAATTATTTTTCCTAACACACAAATCTACTTCAAATGTGGCAGTAACAGTTTTTTGGGTAAAAAACTGACAGAGATAGTAATTTTCCTTTCCATGTCCTTACCTACCTTTTTGATTAATATATAATACTTTTTAATAGTCCCACACAATGGGGCAAAAAATGAAGAGCAATCCTTTTGCAACTTACTGTGTGCCCAGCATTATACATTCCCCAACAACTATGTGATAGAAGTGTTGCCATATTATCTTAATTTGAGGAAACTGAGACTCAAGAGACCATACCTAAGGTCAATTAGTTAAGTTGTTGAAGCTACATCCAACATATTCCAAAGCCTATGCTCCTTCTTCTATGCTGTAATGTTTCCAGTCTACAGAAACTAAAGTTCTGCGGGAAAAAAAAATTTGGAATAAATTTTTTATGTTATCTTAACCCCAAATCTTGGTGCATAATCCTGTTGTATTGAAATTCACCTTCTACAGCTTTGAACATTATCACTGAGTTCACTTTGAAGACTTGCACCTCTGTATAGTGGGCTCCAAAGTTCTTGTCCTCTTCTCCTCTCTCATAACATACTTACCCATGGCAAGTATATAGAATTCCCCTTTGAAAGGATGGGGAGCAGTATTGGTGGGTTAATTGCAACACAGAGAAGAATCATTGACAAAACAAATGAACACACACACATACGCATACCATTTTATGTTAACAAATCACAGAAGTATTCATTTATTTGCTCATCTTTTAATTGCAGGGCCAAGCCTATCTCTTGGCATATGGGTCTGCTGACTGACATTTCATGCACTCTTTCTTGTATAAACTACAACCATAACATATAGTCTATGAAATTGTTGTAGTATCTTTAAAACAGATGAAAAAGATCCTTGCAAGGCAAAATGAATGCAAAATTCCTCTAGATTTTTATGGTTTTCTCCATCTTTTATATTTCCTTCTCACCTAATTTTCTTGAGTTGCCAGTCTTTATGAAGTCTTCCCAAAGCATTGTATTTAGCTTTCATGGATACAACAACTTCCTTTACACACATATTACATCACTTAATATTTCATAAAGTAATATAATTATAATAACAAGTACATCCAACAGGTCCTGTCTCTTGGTAAACATATAACTTTTGACTAGTGGGAGAAGTATGTAGACATACTAGAGCCTGGGACATTCATGAGAGCTATTGATAACTATATTTTGTTATCTAGATTTTGTTGTCTAGATTTTGCAAAAGGAAAAGACAGTATCTGTTATACTGGCAAGTTGGTTAAGTGGGGATCAACGAAAGAATTTTGGTTTTGAAGTCACGTAGACCTGTGTTCAAGTCCTGGCCCTGAGACATTGGGCATTAGCTTCCATATCCGAGCTTTAATCTCTTCATCTATAAAGTAAGAACAAAACAGTTCCTTACTTTAGGGTAAGAAAGTTGTCATGAGATTAAGTTAGATGGTGCCTTGCATTTAACACAAGGTCTGACACATGATAGGTGCTCAAAAGGACGGCTATTCTTGCTGCTGCTGGTATCAATATCGCAATAGCAACAGACTGAAGCTTTTCCAAACTGTATCTTGTAACTGTGTTTGCTAAACTTTGGTCTCATAAATCTAAGTTCCTAGAAGAGCTCAACACATGAATCTTTTATAAGCAAATTGGTCATTTCTGAAGCAAAACTTTTCCATAAA